AGTCACTCAGATTCACCCAGGTGGAGTCAAGGGTGTGCACGATCACACAACCACACTCACTCACACGTGGCCTCTGGCCCTCTCTCTGTGTGTCTGCGCACAGATTGCGTCTGCCGGCGTTACCTGGGGGAGCTACAGTGTTGCAGAGATCAGTGCTGCAGCATGTCAAGCTGACGGTCGTTCTTGCAGTTCCATAGTTGACCGACAGAGATTGTACACACTCTTGAGGTTTTGCGCATCCCTTCACGGTAACATCTTGTGTGTGTCCCCCTGCAAGAAATACCACAATCAGAAAATCAGTATGAGATCCCTGGGTCAGTTATCTACTGACAATCACATGGGCTACATGAAATCAATGAATGACTTCCCCACGAATGACTTCCACTCATGAGTAACCTTTATCCGATTATTTGTATATATTATATACTATATGTTAACATTTCTGGATTGAAAAATTCAATTTTCTGCTCTAAGTACAGTGTTTCCCATGATTCCCTGTCTTACGTTCAATAAAATGTTAATTTTGGAAGTGTTTAAAACATTTGTCAGCAATGCAGTGGAATAGAGCAATACGAATATAGAGTTCAATTACATCTTCATCAAAAGACCTTTTGCTTTCAGTTCTAAAGTTGACACAGAAGTCAACAGTGTTAATTACACAAGGAGACTGTAAATTACAGTAATTTCATATCGCCAGCGTGACTCCCGGGTCCTTTGTGTATTTCGTTACCTCCACGGTAGTCATGAACGTGGTTATGATATTCATAGTCTTTTATTGCTCTGCAAACTGCTTGTGGCGCTTTGTAGTCACACTAACCTTCGCTATAAACGTAATCAAACGTCGTCCACCGTGGTTGAAAAGAAAACTTGACCCGTATGGGTATCGTCAGTGATTTATGGGTATCGTGAAGTGACTTACCTGTGGTGACTCGTACGGTTTCCGCAGCACACGTGGTTTCTGAATCCTGACACTGTTCTTGTGTCTCCGGTGAGCCGTATGCGGATTTGAAACATTTGAGAGATGCCACTGTGGAGAAAATAAATTAAAAAACTAAACATCTTGACGTCAAAACATCATACCTAGAAGACATAAAGTACGAATCGAGAGCAGTGGAACGACATTTTGTTTTTTTTAAAAGTCATGAGTTTTAAAAGAGTAAAAAGTTACGTTTTCCTCATTGCCACTAGTTGCCACGGTGAGT